TAGTTTTGTTTAGTTCAAACTAGCTTAGTGGACTTCTCATATTTTTTAAGTAGTGTAATCCTTTAACTAATAATATATAATGATGAGTTAGTTGCTTTGTGAAAAAGTCTATAAAATATTTTGATATCTTTCAATATCTCAATAAAGATATGCCAAAGTGGCATGATTGTGGGTTAAAAAAAAAAATCTTTTTATATATAAGACTTATATAACAATCTGCCAATTTTATCTAAAAATAGTAACACAAACAAATGGTCAGTAGATTTAAGACCAATCATAGCAAGCAATATACAATATTTCATTAAACTAATTAAATACCTTTTTTAGTGATATCAATAAATTAGATTCTAGATTTACCAATTTCAGACAAATCAAAAGACTCTTTTTGAATTATCCATAAACTTAATACTTTAATATAAACTATTCATATATTGGAAAACCTCAATACTATTTTTATCAAAATTGGACTCAGGAATTGAGTTTTCTTCCATATATTCATTCAAGCTAAAATAATCAAAGACAAATATTAAATTCAATATAAAGCAATTGAAAAACTATTCCATGACAATTATTGCAACAAATATAACATTGACTTTACCATTAAAGTAACTAAATGCAAAATCAGAACAATTATTAACAAAACTTTGTTTATAGCCTATCTTAAAACTCAAGACATCTCAGCTTTCAAATATTGGCAAACAACAATCCTACTAGAATACGGATTTAATTATTTTATGAATTCAATAGTACCTAAAATGAACTACGAGGACATTCTCAAACATTGCAAGTTATTCAACAAACATTTCTATTTAATATTTTGTTTTATTTATTTATTTTGTTTTTCTTGGATTTTTATTTTTATTTTTTTGATATTAGTAATAAAATTATCTTTGGATAACTTACATTTATTAGTTGTTAAACTGTTATTGAGTTTTATAAATGTTTGTACAGTATCTTTCGAAAGTCACTATACTTTCATGTAAAGTTAAAAGCGAATTCCCATGCAATTTATATTGTAACAAATTGATGGGTCACAATATTTTTTAATCCAAATCTTCGCAATATATTTGTTAATTTGGACTCCAAAAATAATTGCATGACAAGTATTGATAAAAGTATTTGTTTATTCATAAATAAAATTTAAGTCGACCCTCAAAAACAAAGAGTTAACCTCAAAGAATAGTCGACCATGTTATGATTCAAACATCCTTCTTCGTTTCAATTGCGCTACTTTCTCTATCGCCATGATGTTCTGAACCCTCGGTGAAATCATCAACTTCAATTTTTGGAATAATCTTATCTTCTGATTGTTGAATTTTGGTAAAAGAGTCAACGCTAAAACCAGAATGCTGATCGTTGTTTGAAATATTGGAATTTAAAGAACTGGCTCTACTTCTGGAGTTGCTACTACCATCCGGTACTCCCGACATTCGCGACGCTCTCCTTTTTCTACGTCCTCGACTTAGTTTATCAATGAACGAAATTACATCATCATAATCCGATTCTTCGGCGCTTTCCCAATTAAATAACTTTTCGTCAATCCACGAGATTAACCTTGATGATGGTCTAGATGGGGATGGTGTTCGACTATCACGGTTCTCTCTGGATTCCTTTACAATACGTGACGACTCAAAGTCTGGATACATCTTTGGTCCAAGTTCATTAATTAATTCGGTTAAATCGCGCGAAAGCGTCTCACGAAGATGGCACAGATCTTGGATAGACGATTGTTCAGTGGGTAGGATGGACAAGAAAAGAGGGCGAAGTGATCTAAAAAATTAGAGAACGAGTCGATTAGTTGCGATTCCTCATATATAAAAAAAATAATTAAATATCTCTGACCTATATATGTCCAGCCCTGTATCAAATAGTTTCAAAGTTGCATAACTGCCCATTATGGTCATCAAAAATATAACCAACGGATAAAATATTCCAAATTCCAAAATCCTCAGATTATGCTTGTATGCCAACACTGAAAATAACAAAGTGTAAAATCCATTTCAATCATGTTTGATCCATTTATCGACCTTTGCTAATCAATCTTGTTCGTGTATAATGATATCTTTTGATGAATAAATATA